TTTTCCAAAATCCTATGGAGAAATCTCATTGGTTTTTGTCGAAGGAACCGGAAGTGGCAACATGCTTACTCACTTCCGGGTTTTAGGACGTGTCACTGGGGCTCTCTATAACGTACAATGTGTTGGAGCGCTAGCCAATAGGAACGCAACTGTTAGATACTGATGTCACTATTTTCCAGAAGAAAACAAAGGAGTCCAATGGAGGCTTTCCTTGGGAGGGAACTTTGGGATTTTAGCCTTTGCAGATCATTTACATAAACCTATAAAACACTACATGAGAGGGACGATTTCAAAAAGCATAATCGGGCCCGTTTAAATTAAATCTATCCTGCCCAAAAGAGACTAGAGGATGCTTATGCCCGCTCTGTTTGTGTGTTCAGTCCACGTCCCCTCAGATCTGTGAGTTCCTGACGGTGATGGCCGTGTGCCACACGGTGGTCCCAGAGAGGGAGGAAAACGGGATCATTTACCAGGCGTCTTCTCCAGATGAAGGAGCGCTGGTCAAAGGAGCCAAAGGACTGGGCTTCGTCTTCACAGCAAGAACCCCGCGTGCAGTCATCATCGAGGCTGTGAGTGTGTGTCTGTGTGTTTCAGTGCAGGGTGAGCGGCTTTTCACCAGAGCTGACCGTTTGTTGTTTATTCCAGAGAGGAAAGGAGATGAGCTATGAGCTGCTGAACGTGCTCGAGTTCTCCAGGTAATAATATGTCAATAAATGACTCTGTGATATAACACTGTTCTGTGTTTCGATTCTAAAGCCACTGCTTCCTTCACAGTAACCGCAAACGCATGTCTGTGGTGGTCCGGACCCCCACCGGGAGGCTGAGGCTGTACTGCAAAGGAGCTGTATGTTATCTCCTTTTTACACATTTAATAAAGCAGTTTAAATGTCTTAAACATTTTGTTTTTATTAATACGCTTTGTCTTGTTTTTGCAGGATAATGTCATTTTTGAGCGTCTGACTGAAGCATCCCAGTACAAAGAGTTAACTATGGCTCATCTGGAAGAGTTTGCTACTGAAGGTAAGACAAGTTAGAGAGTGGGAGAAAGTAGTCATATCATCTGCTATGCAATCTTATATCATCCCATCCCTAGTCTTCAAACTGATCTTATTTCTTCCAAATTTCAAAACTTGACATTACTTAAACCCACCTTTTGGTTAAAGCTTAAAGATGGGGTAGGTAAGAATGGAGAAACCAGCTGGAGTGCGCTAGAATTTGAAAGTACGCAGCCGAAAAAAATCTGCCCCTTCCTTCAGACTTCCTTACAGAGCCCCTCCTCCGACACACACGAACGCGCACATGACCAATGAGGGCACGAGATAGGTTTGTGCACAGATGGAAGGCTGACAGGCAGGTAGGCCATGCAGTTATCTGACCCGGGCCGGCTCAGATGATTGGACGTGCTTTTTACAGCGCCACGGCTTCAACAGATGTATTTATTGTCAAAGCATTTAATATATTCGTTGCTATCGGGATGTTAAGAGCATTCCATGGAATATAACAAAAAGTGTTTCTGAAGTGAATTACCTACACCACCTTTTAAATTACGCAATCTTTCCTGTTTCTTAGTGTTTCAATTGAGTTAGAAACATGTTGTATTCTCCATGTTCACACTCACTGATCATGTTGTCCTCGTCCCATCCGTCCAGGTCTGAGGACTCTGTGCTTCGCCTATGTGGACCTGGAGGAAGAGGCTTACCAGGAGTGGCTGAAAGAATACACTATCATCAGCACGGTGCTGAAAGACCGAGCTCAGAAACTAGAGGAGTGTTACGAACTACTGGAAAAGGTAAACACGACGTCGAGAGACCGGAATATTCTCAAACACACACTTCATGTACAGGGGGTCCGCGGGGTCTTAAAAAGTATTAAAAGTTGATAAATCAATTTAGCGAAAATGAAGGCTATTAAAAGTATTAAACGGCATTTTCCAAGGTATTACATTTTGTAGCTTGTTTTCAATAAGTATATAAATTGTCCAAAGAGGTTGTATTCTACAGTCTGCCTGAATGTAATCATTGCGTAGGTGTGTAGTGTGATTCTGTGTAGTTTATTTATGGCATCCCGTTGGATTTGACGTCATCTGAACAGGACATCGCACGCTCACTGCTTGATAGCGCTCGAAGGCCCGTTTACGCCGGTTGTTAAACAACATCG